CCCTCGTTAACACAAGGATTCGAAGAAAACACAAAAATACATGTTAAAAACGAGTAGAGGGATGGGAGGATATAACCTTGTATTATGCATTTCTAGTGGTTGGAGAAGGTATTCCTGCTATATGAGAGACAATTATGCTGTATAATTTTTACAATTCCTACATTTATCCGAAATGTATTGGAAGAGATATAAGCAAATCATTCTATGCATGATGAGGAGCACATCCCCAATTTCGATATTCTGATCATTCTATAGCTTGGGGAATGTCAGAATCGGATTCCTTGACCGAAAAATGGTAGGATTATCCATCATCCATGGTCATTTCATCAAGAAAACATCTAGTGGTAAGAACAAATCAGACTGCAGCAATTGTCAAGGAAAGTCCATATTGTACTTCGGAGTGTTGACACTTGACTTCCCATGGATGATTGGTGATCCTACCATTTTTCGGTCAAGGAATCCGATTCTGACATTCCCCAAGCTATAGAATGATCAGAATATCGAAATTGGGGATGTGCTCCTCATCATTTGCAGAATGATTTGCTTATATCTCTTCCAATACATTTCGGATGAATGTGGGAATTTGTACTAATTTACAGCATATATCGTCTCTCATATAACAGGAATACCTTCTCCAACCACTAGAAATGCGTAATACAAGGTATATCTCCTCCATCCCCTATTACTCTTTTTTAACATGTATTTTTGTAGGTTTTCTTCGAATCCTTGTGTTATACGAGGGTTTTGAGGTCAAGGAGTAAACTGGTAGAAGTTCTGAAGTATTCCGAGGTACAGAAAAGTGATTTTCCATATGTGCTCCTCCTAAACTGTGATATTGTTATTACCATCGTTTATGGAGCCCAATAAAAGGTTCCTATAGTCGTTTTAGGGTTTTAAATGTCAAGGAATCTATTGGTGATAATACCAGATTCATCCGAAGCACAGAAAACAAAATAAACCATATGTGCACCCCAATCCCCACTTTTTTACAGTATTATACAGGTCAAATATTATAGAAGACAATGTATTCTAAGGTTTTCATAGTGTACAAATCGACTGGTATAGTTTTCAGAGAAATCCAAAGCATGCTGCACCCTAAAAATCCAATATGCTCATCTAATCCTAGTAATAAAATGTGCCACAAGTGCTATACAGGGATCGTTTGGGGGTTTTCAAGGTCAGGAAATTCATTGGTGAAGTCCCCAGTCGATCCAATGCATGTATCACCCTAAAAACCCCCCAAAAAGCAAATATTGTAGCCATTTTTGTGAAAATACCTATATTACATGCTCTCCAGAGCCCCCATACCTCATCAGTAGGTCCGCTTTTATGTTATTTATGTTTATTAATATTCCAGTGCCATTCCCTGACCCACCGAGCACCCAGAAACCAGCCTAAATCCTATTCTGACCGGAAAATAGCCCCTATGATGCCATCATTTGGCCGCATCCAGCCGATTTCGGCCAGATATTGATGGGCTGACTTTACAGGCTAATTATAGATTTTTATGAAAGGCCCCACGGAAGATTCTAGCCCATCCTGATGGGAAATGAGCCCAATATTTGAGAAAATGCGGATTTAGATTGGATCCAGGCTCTCATACATGTGTATACTTATCAGGCCTGCAGGCCTCACAGAATTGTATACAATTTAATTCCTGTGCTTACAGGGCAATTGTACACAATATTGGCTATATGGCCTCAGGGATATCCAGATCGCTGAAATTCTGGATGAACGACGTGATCGTGATGTTATACGTCCCGGAAACACATGCAAAAAGAGGGAGATCCCGAGCCTCAGGTGAGTCAGATTTCCGGAATGCGGCAGGAAACGTGACAGTGAAGACGTAGTGAATGTTCAGCGACCGGTCTCGTACACCCTCGCGGAGCGCGTACAACTCACGAGATTTCGCGCGGAGGATCTTGCTGTCGTTGACATCAAAGTCCCAGCCGAAACGGGGATGATAGGAGGTGGGCTCGAGAGGTTCGTCGGAGGGTGGCTGAGGCATCAGTTCGAGATGTGATGAATTGCTTTGAGGCGGAGATTGAACAGGCGTAATTGTTCTACTCATTCGTCCTTGAACAGTGCCTAATGGCACTACGAGGCATGACCCAGCGTAAAACCATACATCGTGATCTGAAATCTCCTACGTCCTCCAACTAGTCGTATATACCGACTTTGCTTCCTCTGCACCCCAGCAGAATCATCGAAGCTCATAAAAACCGCTATCGATCTGTGTCCCTGCTCACGGGATGATAGATGATCTTATTATTTGCGCTGAACAACGGGAATGGGCACGCTCGAACTTCCACGACAGACAATCGGTAGTCAAGCTCAGAGTGAAACAGACTCTTTGGTCCTCGTGAACCCGAGTCTTTTTCTTTTTTGTTGGATGGTTCTCTTCACGAAGAGGGAGTCGACGCTATGCATATGCGGCACTGAGAGGGGAAGCACAGAATGATGGACGCTGAACAGGATGTGCTTGAGTTGTAATCGCCGGAATACGACGTGCATAGACACGACAAGTACAGGGGTGCTAGCCCACCCTGCCGGTGAACGAGTGAGAAATGGGCCCGTCCCACCGGTTCTTTTGTCTGGCCGGGGGTTTCTTTAGCTAGGGACGTTGTTGAATAAAGAATGCTGAGAACGTCCACAGTGAAGGTAGGAAGAACGAAGACAGTATGTTATTAGGTATAAATCTACGAATCATGAAAGGGTGGTAAGGGTAAATAGTAACATGAACTGATACTAAAACCAGCCATCTTCGTGGACGTAGTAGACGATCTACAAAGCACGATTAGTACTTCAGAATAGTAGGATACAATCAAAGAAACGCGTACTGGGGGTCATACGAGTGCAATCACCATCTTCCCGGAACGTCGAACGTCATCCTTACCCTGCTCTTGAGAGGCCCGCAGCTCGCAGCTCTCCTTCCTGGAACCCGGCTTAACAATGAAATCGTCATCTTCACTATCATCAAGGACAAAAAAACTCGCTCAGTTCCCGTGAACCTCCGCTCCTTCAATGGAACGAGTTTCTTCGGAAGAGGTGGCGGCAAATGTGGAACACTGGGATGAACCCTTTTCATAAACAGATCTGCCGTAAAAAGATACGACGAATCGAGCGGGGGAAAGTCGGTATTGGACGGCCCCACTCGACTCCATTCGGAAAGACGACGTGTTCAAGAGCAAGACACGCAGTAACCAGATGAACCGCGTGTGCACATTCGCTCATTACTGGTTACCATCAAATGGCTGGAGGAACTGATCGTCGAAGACATAGAGCGCGTTCTGGCTCATTTCGGGAGAGGGAAACTCTCGTCGAGGGCTTCTTCCATTGGTTTAACCAGTGCCAGTCCCGGTCTACACATTACCAGCACACGGAGAAACTTGAAGTGAGGAACAATCCAGACCTGCATACCTCGCCGCTCTTGCCCTCTACTTCGAGTTCCCCAATGTCGGGACATACAATGACCCGTGCTTCGGAGGGAGGGAGGGATTCGAGCGTGGAGGTAGGCCGAAAACCCGCACATATCGTCGTAGAAATGGTGATAGACACGATGATTAGAGGTTGAGAGATCGCGAGGAAGGTTACCAGGTCCGGTGGGAAGTGCAGAATGGGCAGATTAGGGAGCAGAGTGATTGTTGGATACGTGAAAGAATCGTGAGTCCGTGTCAGAGCAGGCAGGAGCGGAGATTGCGGAGGTATGGGAAAGGGTGTTAGCCGACTAGGTGCGGTGGGCACCGTGACAGAGAGAAGCAATGTACGTATCAGAGTGGCAGGAAGTGGCGTAGATGGTGGCGAGTCATCGTCATAATCTTCAATGACGAATGGAAACCGCAATAAGACGATATGGCAGAGATCAAATGCAGAGTAGTGCCGCGCGATGTGGAGATCAAAGGAAGGGAGTGGAGGTTGTCCGTGCGAGCGAGGACACGTGGTATAAGGTACATCCGGGCCTGGGGTGATGGCCATACAGGGACGCGCAGGGTGTGTGTGAGTGATGTGAGGTCTCGTCGTGTGATGAGGAATACCTATAGCGCGTCGGGGTTCTGCATACCGGTCATGTGGAGGTTGCCGTATAACACGGCCTGGGCGGCTGAGAGAAAGTCACGAGAGAGCAGAGTGAGTGCGCGCGCCGATGTGAGCAGGAGGAACGAGAGGATCACAGTCAGCACTTCTACTGGTAGAGGCGGAGTGCCGTATAATGGTTTTGGCAGGCGGTACGCTGGGAGAAAAGGGAGCTGAACACAATATGCATGCTCCTCGATCGACGGCCCGAGTCCAGAAGACCTCCGAATATCATCCATCAACGACTCGCTCGATGACGCCGATACCTTGCTCTCCCTCTTCCACTTCTAACACCGACTCTTTCCACCCGTTCCACCACGCGTTGTGACGGCTCGAAAATCGTCGACATCTTTATCATTAGCCAGCATCCTGTTGCAGCGTTGCGAATGGAGGAACATGCTCGACGTCTTCGAGACCTTGCAACCACTGGAAAAAGCGAAGTTTATCTCATCTGGCCATCGACGAGAAAGGCGCCAACGGACGTACCAAATCCTAGAACTCGCGGCGGCCGCGTAAGAGATGAGATGAACGAGCAAGCCAGGAACGATCAGGCATCAGCGCTTCTTTCCGTCCCGTCCTTCAAACTGAGTGGTGTTGGGACCTCGCACAATCAGAGAGATGGCAGGATGAGAGAAACCACGCCAAGTGCCCTGCCCTAAAGTCTAAAACAGTTACGTGATCGGCCCGATCTCGCCGATGTGCGCTCCTTCCCTTGCTCTTTCTTACCGCACAGCCTAGGTACGTCATTTCCTCTTTTGCGTGTTCCTTCCAGTTTATCAGTCTCTACAGGTAGTCAAATGACAATTTTACCTTCCCTCTCTGCTGTTTCCACGAAGCGGATCAACGTTCAACAAGAACGCAACCCAAGCAAGAGTTGCCTATCAAACTGCCGGCTATGCATCAATGCACAGACTTTGCCATATGGACTGCCAGTAATCTTATTCCAACTTTGGTTTAGCTTTTCTTTCTGCGCCAACACGGGGATTTTCTTATGGAAATATTGTAGCCCGATGCAATGAGAACACTGTACTGATGGACCAGCCCGGATAAATACGCCTCGCCATTATCCGGGATGGAGCCTAACCTTTTTGAGTAAAGGAACACAGGAGGGAGATGTTGACTTGTTAGGTGCGTCGCGTATTGCTACCATAGGGCAATTTCTAACAAGAAACGGGTAGCAATACTCGGCGCGGAAAGCATCACTGACGCTCCCAAACCTAGCTTTTTTAAATTGTCTGGTCAAACCAAAATCGGTATTTTCAAGCTAGGTACAGCGGACGATAAATTTACAAAGCCATAAGAGTAGCACTTACAATTCCCAGCCAAAATAAAAACAAGCAACACGCGACTGTAAAGTGCTGTTGTCGATCGGGAGGTTCGAACCGTCCTGTTTTTGGCTAAAGTCCGTTCTCAACCAGTAAGTAAAAATTTCAACACTGCAGTAAATTCAGTCCTCGTCATGTTGGAAGCATTAATTTTAAGCATGATAGGTACAATATAGCCCCGAAAGACTACTGCTCGCACGAAGTGATGCCGACGTTCACAAGGTCCAAGGACACGGGGAGCTGAGTGTGATGCACCAGTCCGATGGCTTTCCTGCTCCGAGCACGTGGTCGCGACATCGTGGAGATCTCACTGTACACGCTAGTGAGGTTCAGCGAACATTGGAAGGCCAAGGCAAAAACGGAGCTGGACGTTGAGGCCTGCGTAAAGCAGGCAGGAGAATTGAAGCTCCGCTTTGTAGTTCCGACGCGCCGCGGGTCTGCGAGTCTGCGGGTACGGTGTCCGGGGTACAGCCACCGTGATTGAGGGTCCGACCTGGGAGCTGCTTTCTTCCTTTCCTACCTTCACTACGCTCCCATTTCATCGGTCGATCTCACGTTCCCAATGGGTATCTCTCGCCTCTGTGATTATCTTCTGTCGAATATATTCCAAGGACTCAGGCGTGACGCATAGTGCCTCAATCAGTACCAGCGTGTCGCAATAGTAGCAGAAACCAATTGATGCCAGTTAAGATGGCTGAGGAATTCAGCATAGGTGAGCCTGAGAAACTTATACCTCGTCCGTTATTTACTAATGTAACTCGTGTAGTCTAGTAGTTCATTACACGAGCACACTTTCGCCGCCTACGATCCCGTACGATAATGTCATCATTCCCGTCGACTTTAGATTATATTCCCGTGTATCGGAATTAAAACCTGCGACGTTTTCAAATGCTCTGCACGCACTGTGCACAACTATGACTAAAGAACCAAGAATTGAGATGTCCAGTACAAAAGGATTTACGATCCCACACCGCGTGGATTACTCTGTGTTCCGTTAATTGGCTCTAAGAATTCTGGTGGAAAGATAGGGCTGCTCTCTGCATCCACCTGCGTAATCGGTTGGAGTTACTATTCACCTCTTCGTGGGTCCTACATGATTCCTTTTTTTTCTTTCTGGATCTAATCCGTTTCATTACAGTTTGAATGAAGAATGAAGTGTCGCTACTTGAATTTCATCGTACCCGTGCATTCATGTTAATCGTGAGTCCATGAGGACCCACGTGTCAAAGTTCCACAGATGGTCGCAGCTGGTATTACTGGGTCTTTATCCGACCTGGAGACGTCAGTGCCGTTTCTTCGGTATGCCCGTTTTTCTTCATTCTCGTCGATCTGTATCGTTTATCTCTGTTAACATCAAAGATTGACTCAGACGAATGATTCTGCTACGAACGTCTATGCCGAAGGTTGCCTGCGAAATCGAAACACGGAGAACTCGATGACCAACACGCATCGTTACCATGGACGAGAGGGAAAACATCACTGCGAGTTCTGTGAGCCTTTGATAACATAGGTATGTTCATTATCTGACGTCGTCTTGATATTACTGAATGTGCAGCAAATTGTCAACGTGCGAATGTTTTGACCACCAAGTTCACGCCCTGGTTCAGCTTCAAGTCTCGGCTCGAGTGTGTCAATGTCGGCGGCGATTGGTCAGCACCGCTCGGAACTATACGAGTACTTTCGTTGGCAGGAGGAAGGTACATCTGCTTCAGCGCCTTTCTCAGCTCAGACATTTCCTTCCGCATGTTCTACGACTTACGATGCATGTGTTTACAAAGTCAAAAGGTTTGCTACGTGTCAATGACTTTTCCTGTGTATTACACGACGACGATTGACTTGACAGTACCCGTTTTCCTCTGCTTTCAATGCAATGTCTTCGAACATACGTGCAACGCTTTCACGATTTCCCGTGTGGATGTAAATATGCAAGGAATCAAAGCTCCACTTGCTAGCTTGGGAGCACCAGCCTTCTTTGTTCTACGCGGTAGGTACTCCCATCCCTCCCGATTGGTTTATGATTTTTTGATATTTAGTTAGCGGTACTTTTCCTTGTCTTACGTCAGCAAGGCCCTTCACAGATGAATTGTTGTGGTCCGCCAACACTGTTCCATGCGCAGCGAGCCTGGTTTGCGGCGGCAAACTTGCCGAGGGCACGGCTGCAAAATGTCGCCTCTAACTCAATGAAAAATGGCTTATGGCACGGAGAAGTGTCTGAAGCAATCCCTGAGAAAGTCACCAAAATTTACAAGCGTTTAGCTGATGTCTGCCCCTCCCAATAACCAAAGTCGAGGTACCTGAAGGAGATAATCAACCGTGCATGGTATCATTACTGTTCTCAGCGTCATTTCTATATAGACTGACTATCACTCCGTATCATAGCCTCGTCATAATAATGTACAGTTTCCAGCTTGACTTGGCTTTCCTGGTTATCTGAATTGGCGCGATTGCGGGGGTTTATTTAACGTTGGTAACAATGCGATCGAACGTCTGTATATCATAATGAAACGCGGGCCAGTAATGTCATGAGAACATTCTGATAAACTAACGTGCTTCGAGCGGCAAAGTTGACTAGCGCCGTCTCCAACAATTTGGCTGCTCCGCGGAGATCGCCAGAAGCTGAAAACTGGAGGGCCTGTTCCTTATCGTATGGTCCATCAATTTTGATCGAGAAGCGCATACACTGTGGCGAGTCATGTTAATGCTCGAGACTGGTCTGCAGTTCAATGCCATGTGCGGCGGGTTTGTCATTGCACCGGGGGATTATATGGCCGGTGAGAGATAGTTCTATTCGTGGATGTTCATAACTTGGAAGACCGGTCCGTGTCTCTGCTTTTTCGTAGTTCTCAATACGGACATTTCCTTAAGTGACCTACTACTATGCTGCTCACGATCGGTTGTTCCACGACAAGCTCGTAGTATAAGATAAGGTAGTGATGACTAGAACGTGTAGGAATACTTTGAATGTAAGAACGCAAGAGCCTATCACGAGAATAAGGAACAGGGAGCCATCATATCTCGAGTGAAGTAGCTGTACAATTAGTTAGTCACAGCAGAATGTTCAAGGACGACCGGTTCAGGACATACAGAATAAATATACGAGAAAATGACCAAAAGGATCCTCAGATAAGTATTTCAGTTATATGGAAAGCGGCGATAGTGATAGGAGACATTGGTTGGAAATTACGCGGCACGAAAAGCAGAGTGACTTCGGACAAAAGCAGCGATAGCGATAGAAAAGGATGATCACAAATTGGGAGAAAGTTCGCGGCGCAGGGGCGCGCGGAGCAAGAATGGCGTTTAGTATGAGACCTGAGGACAAGGGGCTGGTAAGCGATAGAAAACTAGAGAATGGAAAGAGAAATACACGGATTTATATCCAGGCCGTTTACTTGAATGGGCATCCTGGTGCATGGTCACCCCTCCATCCGCAGTGGCAGCATTGTGGCTCATTGGGTCTGCGGTACATGAAACATTGGCGCCCCCGACGATGGCGACTGCGAAGTTATGTTGGACACTTTACGATCGCATGGATAGTAGTCCTTGCTGGAGGGCGTCGAGGAGAATGACGACGAAATGCACATGATGAATTGTGAAATAAGAGGATAAGAGGGGCGGTACTGGTTTAGATGTAAGGCAGGGATTGACTGAGGATCGTTTGGGAGAAAGAGGTCTGCCTTATATCAGGTCCTAAGAAGGTATCCATATTTAGTACTGGTATCAAAGAAATATAATGTGTCGCGCCGCACAGAAGATATCGGACTTGGCTAAACCGAGATCTCTGACTAACCGATGGCGGCGCGAAAAGTTGTAAGCAGAGGGT